GCTGTTGGAAATCTTCGTGACACGCCAAGTTTCTGACCCGTGTAGAAGAACCGACCGACTTGACATTGGTCGGCTGACATTGAAAATCCTAATCTTGTTCCTTGTGCTGGCTGAGTGCGGAAGATTTCCAAATTGGTTTCAGGTTGCTGAAGGCGTATCTTGCCTTTCTGATTCTGAAAGGCTGACTTTGACATCTTCGTCCGTTCCGCCTGTTATTGAAACGATGGTCATAAGATAAGTCAAACTGCATAGATTGCAAATTGCTAGCTGAGAATTGTCAGATTTGTTGACAAGTACCACAATATTTCTTTTTCGTCTCCTATTATATGTTCGACTCTAATTCACCCTCTTTATCTCTCATGAATGTTCTATGCAAATCATAAGAAGACTTTCAGGAGTCATAAGCATTTACCAATGAAATTAATTGTCAAATGAATTAAGCATTTTCAACCTGCAATAATTCAATCATACACACAAAAACAAACACAATTAAATGAGAAAAAGAACGAACCCACAGAGAAACACATCGAACATCAAAAAAACAAAACAAAAACAAAAGTGTAAGCAAAAAAAGATAATGAAACACAAAAAAATAATAATAAATACATAAAATAAATCCATCCAATTAAAGACCACAAAAGACCACAAAAGAAGCCTTGAGATATGACGTAAAATAAGTAGTTTTTTAAAATTAAACGCCTTATTTCATCGAATAACAGAAAATATTTGTTCAGGGCAAATAATTATTAATAGGCAGCAGGCAGGCAGGCGGGCAGGCAGGTAGGCAGGCACTCAGCCAGCTAGCCAGTCGTCTATTGGTTACACAAAAATTAGTCAGTTAGTTAGTTAGTTAATCAGTTAAATATTTCAATATTTGTTCAATGTTCAACATAATTGGTGCTTGTTCAATATTCAAGGATATACGCGTTAAGGTGTAATTTAAAGCTGGGCATGTATTGTTAACTTGTTTGTTAATTTATGCGTGTACATATAAGTGTGTGTGTGTGTGTTTAAGCGGGCTGTTATTGCTGAAATAAGCAGCATGTATATAGAGAGAGTGGGCAGATAAAATGCCCTATGCATGCAGATAAGCGCGTATCTTATAAATGTATCGATTTATGTGTAGGTGTATACGTATACATATATATATATATATATAAGTTTGTTAAAATTTACTTCTGTATATAGATTATATATATTTGCACTGTACTCACAGATATCAACAGTTTTGCTTTGGTAAAGTACATTTTCTGATTTATTTGAAAGATATTTTTTTGCGTCTTATAATTTTAAACACTTTTAAACAGCACACATAAACAGCGTAAATTGCTTTGTAATGAAAACAAATGTTTAGAAGGCTATACGGTGATGTATATTATGTAAGCAATAAATGCCAATACATTTTATTTTTCTGCATTTATCCATCCAACTTGCATTGCTCCTCAAATGTGTTAATTCTTTTCTGGCATATCTTGTAGTGTATGCCATTGGGCGATTGGTCGTCTTGGATTCGCCAACATGTCAGACCAATGGCGTAGAGCAGCGCCTGTAGCATTACAACCAAGTACAACACGACCAATTGGTTCTGAGGTACCGATACGATCATAATCGACAACTGTAACAATGAGGTTGACTTTCTAAAATAGAAATAGTGATAGTAACATAGTACTGATATTGATATAAGTAGTAGTTACGGGAAATAATGGGGAAAACCAATCCGCGCACATATACAGATCAAACACTCAACTAAAGTAGCAATAATCCAACAGCACATAAACGCATAAACTGACTACGAACATTATTCAAAAGAGGTTAAAACACACTATAGCACTTGAATTCTGAAGACAGTGGCAGGGAAATATTTATTGACTGTCTTGCAGAGAAACCTTGAAGAATCCACTATTTCATGAAAAAATGTCTAAACTCTACCAGCAACAAGAAATCATCCTCAGAAACCACAAGAAAATTTATCCTGAATAATTCCTATCCGGACATTAACGAAAACAAAACACGTAGTTCAGCGAAGAGTCTCTTTTTGACGAATTCACTCACTTAGCTGTACACTCGCAATTATGTATGCTTATTTTTGTATGTGTGGGTGTACATTAGGTTCGTCAGATGAGAATAAAAATGAACTATAGAAACGGAATTCGAACCCGAAATTCTCTTTCTTGATGTGCAACTAACGAGACGACCCGAGACTACTTTAAGAAAGTCTATCCATAGAAAACCCACTTGGAACGATCAACTAATCAGTTTCTGCATTTGAGTACTTGATTAAATCATTTACCACTTCAACCCCACGTATCTGCAGTCCTGACCCTCTGTAAGCATAACTGGATCTTCTGAAAGAAGCCTTCATCCAAAATTGATATCCACCAAGATTCATAGACAAGAATAGCAAACCAAAGGTCCAGAGGAACGAAACATCACTTATTTCGAAAAAGATACTTTACATGATTCTGGATTTCAACGGAGACTAAGCTTGCAATATTCTCAAGCGAAGAATTTCAGCATCTTTGAGAAGAACATTCTTCGCTACAACATTAAGCTAAGAGTAGTGCTCTCCAGTCATCCACTGGTATCCAGAAGCCTTAAGGAGATGTCACATCTAGCCACTTCTGGGTATGTGTATCAGTTCACCTGTTGATGTGGAGCCAGGTAAATTGGTCGTTCGACACGTATCTTATCCGAAAATGGTTGAAGAACACTATCCCACATAGCTACAAAAGGGTTATGGCGGCAATAATCGAACATCTCGTCAACATTGGTCATACCATCTCAACAAACGCCTCCTTCAAAGAGATCCACAAAGTGAAGAACAATCAACTGAAGGCTATACGCTTTCGTCTTCTTTGTATTGCTGAAGCCTTAGTCATTCAGTTGGAAAAACCAAAGTTATGCCTACAAGTGAAAATCATCCAACCACTTCTACTATCATGGTAACAACCGTGTTGACTTCTGCTGACTTTACGCTTGTGTGCTTGTTTTTTTCTAACTCCCCATAATATTTGTAATTTTTAGTACTCTTACATCACTCCATATTTTCCTTTGTTTCTATGTGCATCCTAATCACAACTCACTCATTAAACTACTCATCTTGTTAGGTAACTGTATTACGCTTATTCAACATCTTTTATGTATTGATTAACAATAATAACTATGTTTTTTTTGACAACACATCACCCCTACCCTCTTACCAATCTTCTCCCCCAGCCACTCTAGTTACTGTTTGATTATTCATCACATTTTGAAATGTCTTGACAACAATAACCCTAACTTATTTTTATTCTTATCGGACAAACCTAATGTACACACACATACACAAAAATGAGTGTATATAATTGCGATTGTACAGCTAAGTGAATAAATTCACCGAAAATTTATCCTATCAAATTTGAAGAAAACTCAAATAATTTGGAATACAAAATAATTGAGCAAAGAATTTCCTTTTCGATAATTTAAACTTCTGGCTCTACAATTATATATATATATATATATATATGGAATATTCTAGAATTGTAGTCAATAACAATATTAGTGTTTTTTTAAGTAATATCGACTTGCAAACTAAGATCAGCGGAATTATTATTATTATTGTTCCCTTGGGTTCCTAGTGGAACATAGGGCTTCAACTACACGTCTCCACTTCCTTCTGTCTTCTGCTATACTTTTCACCTGCTTCCATGTTAGTCCATACTGTTTCAACACCTCTTCACACGTTCTCCTCCATGTCACCCTTGGACGTTTCACTCGCCGCTTCCATTTCGGGTTCCACTCGAGGGCCTGACGCATGACGTCACCAAGTGACCTCCATAGTGAATGTCCAATCCATCTCCACTTCCTCCTGCATATTTGTTGGGCGATTGGTTCTTGTTCTTTCCGGCAATCTGATCTTCAGTATAGAGCGAAGACAGTTGTTGATAAAGGTCTGCAACAGGCTGTCGGAAATATTCTTTGTGACACGCCAAGTTTCTGATCCGTATAGAAGAAGTGACTGACTTGACGTTTGTATTGGAAATCCGAATCATTTTGTTGTTTATGCTGAGTTGAGTGACGAAGATTTCCAGATTGGTTTCAGGTTGATGAATGTGTTTCTCACCTTCCCGATTCTCGATTTGACATCCTCATCCGTTCCTCCTGTGGTTGAGACAAAGCTCCTTTGATAAGTGAATGAAGTAACCTCTTTCAAATCCCTCCCGTTGATGGTGATTGGCGCTGGATGTTGCTGCTGCTGTTGTTGTTGGTTGGTTGGTTGGTTATTTTCATAACCTCCGTCTTGTCTATGTTCACCTAGAGTCCTGTCTTCTTTGGCTGCTTCTTCGACCAGTTTGTCGGTTTTCGCTTGTAAGTCTTCGATTTTGTGTGACATCAGACATAAGTCATCCGCGAAATGCAGGTCTTCTAGGTTCTTCACGTCGGTCCAGGATATCCCTGTCTTCTCATTTCCCACTGTCTGACGCATAATCCAGTCCACCACAATTAGGAATATCATTGGTGATAATAAGCACCCTTGTCTGACTCCTGTGTTTACTCCAAACGTGTCTCTGAGTTTTCCGTTGTGGATCACTTGACATGTTCAGAGGAATTACAGTTCATTAAAAGTACTTGAATAATAATAATATAATAGCAAATACAATATCAACTAAAATTAAGGAAATTCACACAAAATTTGAGGGTGATTTGAACTTAGATGGCCAAAGTAGGGATAATGTCTGAACTAATTGCTTTTGGACGCACAAATTAGGCTTCTTATTGTGGATCCCAACAGCCAGCCTCAGCAATATTTAGTAATCGAATTCTTAAGGCGAAGTTAAGATTAGTTAGTATGCGTTAAATGACTTTGAAAGCAGCCTCGTTGACATCAATCTTGTGTTCTGTATCCACAAGATGAGATAGAATAGCGCTATGTGAATAGATTTTGTTTGTCCTTTACTTAACCACTATGCAGGGTGGTGTTCGGAAATCCGAAGAGAACGCACAAAACCAACATAATCGTTTCATTCAATACTATGTAGTCTAGAAGATCCACCCAACAGTAAAAGACGAGATTAACACCATAGACAAAATAAATCCCATGAACTGCGGTAAGCACCTTTGACTCTAAATCCCAGAACATAAACTAGCCAGGTTTGAAAAGACGTGAAATGTATTCTTTCATATCATTGCATATGTACAGAAATGGACACCAATTTGAACGAGAAAATGTGGAACTTTCAAACAGTGCAAATATCAGAATATACCGTGACAGTCCCAGGCTCCTGGTATTCAGACATATCAGCCTTCACACTGAAGTTTGCATTGATGATGTTCTTTAGAATAACATTAATTGACGGCTTCACAGTTAAGCCATTACCCAGGTCTGAGAACACAATCACATCAAAAAGTGGTCACATGGATTTTAAAAATTTAGACTTCATATAAAACGAAATCAATCATATGACCTTGAAACAGCCAATCATGGAAGCTGTCTACCTGATAACAAAATACATGCATCGATTTATATCGATTTTAAATTTTTGAATATATATATTGAACATTCGTTCAGGAGCGACTACTGCCTGTCATTATAACAGTGAATGTAGGAGTATTTGCTAAAATAATTATAACATTTTTAGAAACTTAGTCATTGACATTTCAGATTTCCTGAACTTAACACTTTAGAAAAATGGATTACATCTAAACATCACCGACTAATACGACTGTCAAATGTTAAGCTTTTTCGGTAAGCATAGCTCTACAAGTGGAACATTTGATTTGTTAAACTGTACAGATGTCAAAACTACCTCTTTTTGTTTTTTTTAACAGCCCTGAGTTTTTTCCGTTTTCAGCCTATTACGTCAGAGCCAACTGACATCTGTTTAATAATAATTTCATCACCTTTATGTTAGTTAGGCAGAATAAGAGACAGATGCATATGTAGCAGTCATGATCGTTACTCATTGTCAAAAGCTATTTGGGAACAGAAATTGAAAATGATAGACTTTTTGTTGTAGCCTTGCCTGTTTATCTGTCTATCGCAAAGGGGATATTTATCAATGATAATCTAACAGGTGAATGCGTGAAAATTTCGATGTTTACATGAGTAATTGGAAAAAAATGGAAACATTTTTATAGTTGAAGTTGTAGACTGGAGGCGTGGTATGGATGAGGATGCCAAAGCAAGACAGACATTGATGATTACTCGGAAATCAGTGGGGAAATTTACTGCCCTCAGTATGAGGAAAAGGATTCAGATTTTAGAGACTAATGTCAATTCAACTGACTAAAAATGCCAATTAAAATATTCTGAAGAATGGATATTGAACAAAGAGTACTCTTTTCAATAAATTCGTCATTAGGCTCTACAATTATATATACATTATAATGAATGAATGAATTAGTGTTATGAACAACATTAATGTTGTTTAAATTACATGGAATCAATAATATCAATAGATTACAGTGCAATAGCATCAACATAAAATAAGCTGAATGTCAGGAAAAATTAGGAAGGATAATATTATAAATGCATGAATTTATAGTCTCTACTGAAGGCTGGCCAGGGCAGTAGTAGTAACTGGAATTACTTCATCTGCTTATTATTCTACTTCTTCTATATATATATATATATATATATATATATATATATATATATATATATATATATATATATATATATATATGGTGATCCAGATAAGTTCATTGAGAAAAACATGAATTTAGCACCTAGGAGAGTCAGTGTGGCAAGAGCCCCGGAGAAAACACTGTTCATAAAACTGCAGTTCCTCGATCACAACATCAGCGCCTGAAGAATACAATTAAAAGAGCTTATTATGCAGCAGAGGTACGTTGTCACTTCACAACCACCCCTATGCTGCGTTCGAGAAATAGGGGTAAACTACCTATATTTGCTGCCTCTATGTGTATCTATCAGTTTGACTGCAGCTGCGGAGCAAGCTACATTGGGCGTATAGTTATGCAGGTTCATCATCGTATTTCCGAACATCATCCAGTATGGTTAAGCAAGGGACAAACAAGATCCATTCATAGCTCATTGGAGCACACCTTGTAGATAGTGAGCATAAGGTTGACGTCGATACAGCATTTAAAATTATTTATCGCATTCCTACTAATCTCAATTTTGCTTTACGAGTTCGTCTTCTACATACCTACAGCTAAAGCAATAGGAATCCAAATGAAGAAGCCAAACCTGTGTGTGCAGAAGAAATTCGTACAGCCACTTTCCTTATCCTGGCTATCGTTACATGAATGTGAAAAACTGGACTACTACGCCCCCCTTCCCCTAAACCTTTAAAAATTATAATTGTCCAAATTATTTTATTATTTTTCTGACTAATTCATCTTTATTCATGTATAATCCCCGTCCAGACATTAATGAAAACAAAAAACGTAGATCAGCAAAGAGTCTCTTTTCGCTGGTGAATTCATTTTCTTATCTGTAAAATCGCAAATATATATGGGTTATTTTGTATGTATGTGTACATTAAGTTTGTCAAACAAAAATAGACAATTGGTTATGGTTATTTTAACAAAACGGGTGAAAATTGGTAATTGGAGTTACGTAATACAAAATCGGTCAAGAAAATTAGGTGTTAATGAAATTAGGGTAGTAACAAAGGTGATGAGTTGTCACAGTCAGTTGTTAAAAGGAAGTGGTGTAATAATATGAATAGTTTGATGATTGACTTTTACTCAGGTTACACATAGGAACAAAGTAGATAATACGAAGTTACGTAAGAGTTCTAAATGAATACAAGAATTATAAGTAATTAAAGAATCAGGCAAACTAACAGAATTAAGTCATCAAAAATCAACAAAGTCGTTACCATGATAGTATAAGTGGTTGAGTAATTCTCTTTTGTATGCACAGCTCAGGTTTTTCTGTGCAAATAGCCAGAGCTTCAGTGGTACAAAGAAGATGAAACCGTATTGCCTTTGGTAGGTTATTCTTGACTCTGTTACTACCCTAATTTCATTAACACCTATTTTTCTTGACCGATTATGTATTACGTAACTCCAATTACCAATTTTCACCTGTTTCGTTAAAATAACCATAACCAATTGTCTATTTTTGTTTGAAAAACTTAATGTACACATACATACAAAATAAAACACATATATATTCGCGATTGTACAGCTAAGAAAATGAATTCGCTGAAAAGAGACTCTTTGCTGAACTACTGTGTTGAGTGCTACTTATAACCCGATATAAGTAGTATATCAGGAACGAAGTAACAATATGTTTGGCACACTGGAAAGAGCAATCAAAGAAGAGAACCATGAGAGGAATGTTGCCATATGATGCAGAATCCAAGAAGTTATCGAATGAGACGATATTTGACCAATTCGTCAAGGATGTGGTGAAGATGTGCAAATGGCCGGTTGAGAATATGGTATACCAAATTTAGTTATGTACCATACTTTCGGTCTCCTCCGAGTTTTGTTCCATACACTACGTGTTTTGTTTTCTTTAATACCTGAATGGGAATTATCCAGGAATTAAGACATTGATTGCTCTGAAGTCTGTGGGTAAATCTACTGCACTCAGTATAGGAAACAGGATTCCGATTTCAGAGAGTGATGTCAATTCAATCAGTGGTTCTATTTTGGTCAGAGACGAGGCTTGGTGTGAATGTCATTAAAAACGTTTCTAACAGGTTATTGCAGATTTTCATCAGTACTGAAAATTAGATGGCAGAACAGAAAAGAAAATCGACAAGGAATAGAAGCAATGTCTCAGTGGTGAGCGAATATACACAACAAACTGAGACGCACTGGACACATTCTAAAGCAAATAACCACAGGAAAATTAGAAACGCAAGTTTATAGAAAATCAACTCACACAGATCAAATACTCAATTACAACAACAGCAACAATTCAAATACTAATCAAGATAGCCAGCCAGAACTCACTGCAGCACTCCTACCAAAGAGGAAAATTGAAGAAAGATATCTCATGGACATCTTCCGAAAGAATGGATATTCACGGAACTTCATCAAAAGGCATCTACCCCCAAGCCAAACAATCAAACCAAAAGCCCCCAAGGAAGGCACAAAGAAAATCACCCTGCCATATATATAGGGCATCTCAGAAATCACTGCGAGACTCTTCAAACCTTTAGGAATTGACGTCGTACACAAACCAACAAAATCACATCACTCAGCTCTGTGTCAACCAGAAGACTCAACAGTGAAAGAAGATAAAACCAAAAAAAATCTACAAAATAAATTCCAACGATTGTAGAAACCACTACATTGGCCCAAGTGGACGTCTCCTTCGTCTTCGTATCCACGATCATAAACTAGCCATCAAAAGACATTACATCCACTCCCTTACTCATATCGCTGCATAAAGACAACCACGGTCATCAATTCGACTGGGACAACATTCAAATATTAGACAGAGGAAACTTCAAGAGTGCCAGAGAATGTTTAGAAGACTTACATCCCAGTGAATCATCAGTCAATAGACACATAGATATAGATAAAATTTACCAATAGATAAGAAGGGAATCTCACATACACAAAGGGTTAAACTTCAGGTCAAGGAAACAATCAGCACCAATACCAATACACAAACAGTCAACCACGTCCAAGGTCACACACCAGGAGAGACGACTAATAAACTCGTGAGGAAATCTAAAAGCTCACTTGGAATTGAAGTATCCTCTGAAGATGTTGTCTAGTAGGGCAGTGAGAGCCAACCATCCAGCTGCTCAGAGAACGCAACTATATGAAAAAGGGACCCTTGAGTGACATCACACTCAAGGCTCTTCAGTGGAACGCGAATGGGAAATGATGAGTTGGGTATCACTTTGAGCGTGATATGGAGGAAATCGTTTGAGGAAAAATTGTAAAATTATGGTCAATCTTGGGATCATTTAAAGATGACTACAGAGAATAAGGTAAAACGGAGATGTACTACTGAAACCCCATGTTCTACACGGAACTGAAAAAAATTGGATAAGTGTTACTCATCAGTGGTGAACTGGTAGAAGCCGAGAAACACACAGGATATAAGATTCAGAGCCAGTGGTTTAGTTACAACATGCTTGTTGGGACAGAGCATCGTCTTGCTTTCTATTCTGTAGGTAGTCGTAGGGTTAAAGACATATCTGGGGTTCTTTGGTCTTCAATGATACGCTCGTTTACGTCGACTATGTACGAAAAACTGACTTACTGTTTAACTGTTAAAAGTAAGAAGTAGGCGAGTAAACTAGAGAATGGGAGGGTCAGTCGAACAGTGAGTAGGTAGGCAATTAAGTTAGTGCGACAGTGAGTTAGTGGATTGGAGGCAGGGAAATAGAGCGTCAAATGCAGTGTACGGCTTCAAGCATTGAGCTTTGAATTTTGAATAAGGACAGAGTTGCTGTTTTTGCAATTACTGGCCCCACACCCAACCTCCTCTCTGTACCGTGCTTACCACCGATTGAGCGAGGTTTCTGAGTGGGCCAGCCGGGAATGGAACCCAGATGGCGAGCATTCTACTTTTGGACAACCGATACACAGATCCTAAAGAATCACCTAACACTTTAGTTAACAGCCGAATGGATTAACCTATGGCGCACAACACACAGTTATACAAAAAATAAATCCTGAACAACTTACTTGTATCTGATCGAATGGAACATCGAATGCAAACGATTCATTGTAATATGGATTCAGTGTATACTTTTTAATTGTTGTCTTTTTCTTTTTAACACGTTTCCCATTAAACATTAACGATAATTTCACATAGGGATCTAAAAGATGAATTATTAAATAAAAAAGAGGCTATTGTTACTACTGATAATACTACTAGTAGTGTGTTGTGGGCTGGCTGCGAACAAGCAAAAAATTGTAGACAACAATTTACGTCCCGAATCGGAGTCATGAGAAAAAACACAATAACAACCTTAACCTTGAGGAACTCACCAACCAATCACAGCAGACTTAATATGTGTAAATACGATTCGCCAATATATGGCTTAACTTTCTGAGAAACGGTCACAAGCAATACAGAATAACCTTCAACGAAAAAACAACCAATCAGAAGACGTTGCTTCTGCGCTGACAATTATGTGCATAAAAATCAATAAAAATCACTTGATTTTTTCAATAAACGATCTGTTGACTGGTGCTCGTCTTCTGTCGTCACAATAGGAGTATATGTTGATAACTTTTAACTGGTTAAAAATTTAAAAATTTATTTAATCTGCTGTCAAAGAAATTGATGATTTCTTGAATTTACTTGAAGGTTATTACTTTCCGAAGAAAGCCTACATGCAATGGGCAATACTTGCATTTTATCAGTTTTCGTCCAAATAGCTTAAAACGCGCACGAGTCAAGACTCTGTACTATAGTAGAGCTAGAAAAATATGCTCTTCAGAGAAATTAGAGGAAGAATTTATGATTCTCAGAAAAAAGATGTTGAAAAACAACGGTTAGCCTCAGAAATTCATTAACAAATATGGAAGATGTGAAGGCTTAAAAGTCTATCAAATCACTGTCGGGGAAAAGCCTGTCATCATTCAACTCTATTTTAAAGCTGGGAATATCGCAGCAGTGATCAACAGAAGACTGAGCACGTCACTAGACAGAGCCTATCCTCCAGTCAAGTTGGTTCCCGTCTATCGGACAATATGCTGTTTGATCTAATCGAAAGTCGACAGATACTCTTCTCATGTTAACTCCAAGTGCGTATACAAATTTACATGTATCTGAGGGAGAAGTTACATGGGAAGAACAGAAAGAACGGCATTCCTCCTATTTTCTGAAAATGTACCAAAAAGCCTTCATCTCCAGGGGACAAATGCTTTTGAAATTGTCATTGCCAGGCATCCCCTTGATACGGATCATGAGGTGAACATCGTAAGACCGTTCAAAATCATCAATGGGCAAAAGAGTTCAATTCTCCTCAAGTTTGCTGATGCAATCTCCATCAAGCTCCTGAAAGCCGACTTATGTGTTCGGAAAGAAGCGGTTATAAGTCTATCCTTTTCCTGCTGTCTCATAACTGAATATTTTCATCCTATCTTTCATCTGATTACGTAACGCTGAAAGTTTCGATCGTCTCATGGCATTATTGTTTGGGATAAAGTGATTATTATTGTTATTAATACTATTGTGTGCATATATTGATTGATTTTTGTTTAAAAATGGACTCATGATTATTTCTTAAACTATAATTTTCTGTCTAATACCACACAAACTTGAAGATCTACGGAAGAAAGCCAAGAAAACTGACGGTAGAATCAGCGAACACAGGGTTACAAATGAACATAGAGACGATAAAGCTGTTGAAAACATTCATCGATCAACAGCAACAAGTGTTACTCACGGTCCATGGGAGAAATTTCAGAGATCTTGTCTCCTTCACTTATCTAGTGAGCATCTTTTCAATCATAGGCGGCACAGATGACGACGTCAAAGCCAGTTAGAATCATAAAGCAAGAAAGGCGTTTATTACTGTGAAATTAGTGTGCAGAGATACAGAATACAGCGCAACATAAAGAATAAGATCCAGATTTTCAGAGCTGATGTCAAGTCATTCACTGTTTCTGTGTGATTTCAGGGAGTTGGCGCAGACATAACTGAAAGCGCTTGCGAAAGGTTACTTCAGACATTCATCAACAGCTATCCACTTCGCTCAATCCTGTAGCTCATATGACCTGTCAGAAAGAATAGGCTTGGACGGGGAGCTAACAGATAGGCATCCGAGTGTGACATGGAGAAGATCATGTGACCATGAAATGATAGCTTCTGTGGAGTTGTTTGGCCAATTAAAGTTTATCACATAGAATCGAGTGGAATGACCGAATGGACTGCTGAAGACTGATGTTCCAATTGGAACTTTATGAACGAATAATAATATAATAAGTCGTAGATGGTGACGTCGATGAACGTAATGAGACACCATAAGTGATTGCTGAATACATTTTTACTAATTCAATATAATTTTATTTCACTGAATCACACAGTTATCTTCATCACCTCCGTCTTCTCTGTATTCTCCTGAAGTCCAGTCTTTCCGTGTCAATAACTATTACACTTTAAACATTATTATTAGTCTATTTAATTCTAGAACCAGGTCATTAGGTAGTTGTCAAAATTGTGAATATTCCTTGAGCTCAGTCTTTCTTTCTTGACGTCCAACTAACAAGAAGAGAACAGGATGGAACACTGAAAAGGTCTATCCACAGCAAATCGACGTGGAACGGACAGCTTACTAACTTTCACAGTTGGTTACCACTATACATCAAACGAAACCTGATCCGTTCTTTCAACTACAGAGTTCGCAGAATTTGCACCCCGGACACCATAGAAGATGAACTGGACAATATCAAGAAAATCCTCGTCGAGAATTGCTATCCAGAAAGATTTATTGCAAAATCTATGAATCCTAGACCAGAAAAGCCGCCCATGCTTAGCGTCCCAAAAAAACTACTCTACATGAACCTTCAATTCAATGGAGATTTATCTGCGGAAACACTAAAAAATCGACTGTCGCGCTCACTTAAGAAGACCTTCTTCACAGCTGAACTACGACTAACCCTCTCCACAAAACCTATGATTCACGTGAACGTGAAGGATAAGCTACCGCTACTGGCCTCATCAATGTGCATTTATCAATTCACCTGCTCGTGTGCAGCCAGGTATGTCGGCCGTACCCAGCGCTCGCTTTCCAAACGTATCACCGAGCACTTACCAACATGGTTTTACAAAGGAGGAAATCGATGCCCCCGCAGTTCCATCTTAGAACATCTGATAGAATCCGGACACCAAGCTACACCACAAACAAACTTCAAAGTCGTCTACAGAGTAAGAAGTAGTCTCCCTAAAGGTGTACGAATCAGACTTCTTCAAACTGCAGAAGCAATGGCGATTCACTTGCTAAGTCCTGAACTCTGCATACAGAAGAAGTTCGTTCAATCACTACACTTGCAATGGACGTAATCTATCTTATTACCCGATAAGTAAATTCTACCTAATCTTTTCTTCTGTCTCTTCATTGGTATTATTTTGTCTTCTCAATTGTAACATTTTACATTTTCAACTTTCTTGTTCTCTACTCCCACCCGATTCAATTTCTACACCTCACTACCACTGTTACAGACTTGAACAACGCTCAATTTCTAGTCATTCATGTTACGTCATCCAACTTATTTACTCAATTTCACTTCTACTTATTCTCTACCTGTAATTACCTCTGTTGCTGTCTTGACCTAAGTTGTAACATTTTAGTCAATTATATTACGTCATCTAGCTTCCTAACTCAATCTTACTTTAGTTGCTGTCTGATTAACTTTGTCTCTATACTACATCATTCTTGTATTAACTAATCAATTATCTAAACTTGACAAACCTCATGTACACACACACACAAATAATTATATATAAATGCGATTGTACAGCTATGTGAATAAATTCGCCGAAAAGAGTCTCTTCGCTGAATGTCTTCTCTTTTTCAGTCTTCTTTGTTTTTGTCATCTAAATGTCTAAAAAGGCATCCGTATTTATCTTCTACGCTAGTGAGTTCATGCGATTAGATGACTCATATAAGAAGTTGTATTTTTAGACAGAATTAGATGAATGTGGATTGTTTATGTGTATACGTCGAACAAACAAAGTATGTGACAAAATAAATTTAAATTTTGTTCAGACCTGCGTGTCACCGAATATATATATGCATGTAAATCAATAAATTTCATAAATATTAGCTGTAAATGACATTTTAAGGTCACTCGAAGGTCATTAGATTAGTCGATACCACAGCTATCGATTTAGACTGCCTCCCGCGAAAAATGATATTTAAATATACACTTGAATAAGTTGATTCTTGATGATGACTCAGCCTTAAAAGAATATCACAAGAATTCAAAGAAATCATCATTAGAATGCATGAGTAAGTGGAAAAAATAGCCAAAAGTTTATTATTTCTTTCCATCTCTCTCACTCTATGACTGACCTGAAAGTCCACCGACATCCATCTTCTTCAAATTTTTCGCTTCAAGTATATTGACATTCAAACGACCCGAAGTTGGTACATAACGTAGTGAAAAGCAAATATCACCTAAACGATTTTCCTTGTAAAAAAGAAACAAAATATACGAAAATTAAAGTTGAATTAAAATATTGATATATATACTACTAATTGGCTGAAATAAGTAGTTAGTGACCATTCATTTCAAAGTTCGTCAAATGAAAATGATCTAAACACGAAACGGTTTCTCCACTTATTTGGAACTCAGCTCATCAAAAGTGTATGTGGTTTTATTCAGCTCAGAGAATCGAAACCACACGATTATCCCAGTTTATGAGAAGCAGAAGAAGTCTTCATGTGGTAATCATGAGGGAGATAAGCCTGACTAATATAGTATCTAAAGTTTTAGGTTCGGTAATCACGCACAGAATAAATGGAGCTCAGAAGGAATAAACCTGTTTAATACCAGGAAGGTTTAAGGCCACAGAGAGAGGTTGTACTGATTATATATTCACTCTCCAACAGATTCTGAATAATAGGCCTACTTACCTACGCGCAACAGTTGACGTATTTCGGTACTATGGTAATGTTTGGCAATGGAGGGAGTGCCGATAAAGTAGACCACACTAAATGAGGCACTCTACTCAAACTCACGCAGCCGTGTAAGAGATTATGGAGAGTTTTCATCGGAAGTGATGATGACCAGTGGTGTCCGTCAAGGGTACTCACCATCCACATTTTTGTTCAGTTTCATCGTAGATGTACCGATGGAATTAACCGTGACTGACTTCAGCGACTTAGGGATTCGCTTGTAGGTACGAAATAGTACTGTTGACTTAGAATATGTGGGTACAGAGTCTTCTAAACACTCTCGACAGAAATCTTCAGATGTTTGCCATAGGATTTACTCCTATCAGATGTAAGATGATGCTTCAGGGTTGGTATATACCAACTCCTGGCTTAAAGATAGGGAATGAAGTGGTAGAGCGTGTTGACCAATTCACTTATTTGGGAAGTTGAATTAGCTATCATCGATTGACTGATGACGAAATCTCAGCATGGATACAAAGTGCTCTTGTGAGATTTGCCAACTTACATCATCTTTGGAGTAGACATGATATCCGGTTATCGATGAAATGTACGTCTGTACGTCTGTGTAACATTTCGCTCTGTCCTCCTCCTTTATGTCTTTGAGAATTGAAAAGGCTAGCTATCTTTGACTGCAGATGTTTCAGTTTAATCTCCTGTGATAACTGGTACACAATGGTGAGCAACATTCAAGTTAGGTGCAGTGTTAGGTAAGTAGGATAAGTGAGTCAATGACGTTGCGAAGCTACATCCGCTAAGATGATTAGGACATCTGTCGTGCATGTTAAACCATCGCCTTCCTCGATGGGCAGTGTTGTTAGCACACATCACAACAGTGGATTAGGCTGGAAAAGAGTTAGTGGCAGTCAGACGACAACCTGATATCTGTTCATGAAGTACTGACAGTAGGCCTCAGCCAGCTACGTAGGTAAGTTTAGACTGCCTGATTGTGATTCTCAGGATTCTAAGGATGATTGGCCGAAGACTGTTGGTGATATGGCTCAAAGTCTTTCTCACTGACTTGGATGCGTTCACTCTGTGTGATTCGCTTTTTCTACTAAACTGTAATGTTTTGTATTTTACTATCTTTCCCCCTCATATTTTCGCTTATTGTTGCTACAATAATATTTAAAAAAACTTAATTGTCTTCCTCTCGTTTGTCTGCTTTTGCATGATGCATGGGATGTCGTAACACGAACCTCGGCACTTCTGTACAAAAGGTTATACTGAAATTCGGTCAGTCAGATAATAATTTGGTTAAATGGCTGGCTCTCTGAGTGAACTGATAATATGTAGCATTGGATTCATCATAGGTTTCTAGTCACGTTTGAGAGCCTTGATGTTCCGGGAGCAGAATGCCTGCCAATTATGTACGTGGTCTGGGTTCGATTCCCGGCTGATACACCCCTAAGCCTCACTGGCCACTGGTGAACCTGAGAAAGATAAGTGGCTGGGCTTAGTGCCATCAATCCTCCACCGTAAGGAAATCAACACCACTGTTACGGAGACTGTAAAGCTCAAGGCTCTATGTTTAACTCCGAAGGCAGAAGAATGAAGAAAAATGTATACAAAACATATGACTTCAGAAAGGACTTCATCGTTAAGCTCTGTATGGGTGTACCTTAGCTCCAGTTGTGGTGAGAGCTGGCTGCTAGCCAAAGGTGGTAGACAGTAATTGACGTCAATGTTTATGTCCCCAATATTGGTTGGTGTTGAGAAAATGAGAACAAAGGCTTTGTGTAGGCGGATACAGTTAGCATATGGATGATCTGACAAAGCCACAAAGAGATGCAAGGTTAACTTTGTGTGAGAAACAACCAATCAACAGACTGTATTTTCTACTAAGAATAAGCTACAATAATGTACATTAAAATCTATAAATATGTGTTGATTTTCCTTAATAAATGGTCTGTTGCCTGGCCCTTGTCTTCTGTTGTTACACAATAACCTTCCTGCTTAGTCATGAACAATACACCTACTTAGGACACATATGCAACGGAGGCACTATGACACATCTCTATGCATAAGATTTCTACTATCAGTCCGTTTCCCACTAAATGACAGCAAAATATTCAGTAGTATTTGACATAAGCAACAGAAAACTAACGAATCTAACCAGTAATCCACCATGAATCAAAATGCATTAATAGTTATATCTGTGACTGCCTTTCTGGTTGACACAGCGTCAAACCTCTCAGTACCACACCGGTTCCTTCGATGTTGAAGATATAGCTTACTAACGAGTACCAATAGATATGAAATCCAAGTACTTCAGAACTTTCTGCCATCCAAGTCTTTCAGCCACCAAATCACATTAATTCAAAGTACATTTTGATAGCTAGTCATTAGATCTGGTGATGACATTGAGAGCTTGAGTGAAAGAATTCAGTCAACAACAACAATAAGGATGAGAAACACTGATATTGGTAACTTTCTACTGACGATTCACAGAACGAATACTTCTGTAGAAGTATTGGTTTGTAGGGATTTGGTGGATTGGTTACAGGATTTCATCATGAGCTGACATTGGTTAGAACAACCATTGGAAAACCCGGGTGTACTGGACAGCTGTTTCGTCCTAGTTTGGGAATCTTCACAGTACGCACCCACCGGGATTCGAACCCAGGACCTTCTGGTTACAAGACTTATTATTATTAATACGTCTTGCGTCACTTGGGTCACAAGTGGACTGTGCATTACTCTTTAGCGTTTGAAACGATGGATTCTGGGTTTGAGCCCCGGTTAGAACAGCATCACTTACTAAGAATGCAGGTACCTCCATAAGACGAGGCCCAGATAAGATGAAACAAACATTCTAGATAATAATAATCTGCTTTATTCCATAACGGTACTTGTGATACAGAATGGAATTCTCAGCATCATACTACAGTATTGCATCCAGTTTGTATATTAACAATAAATAAAATTCTACATAGATTAAGGTAATCTCGGTTCATTATGACAACAAAATATTAACATGTCGGTAGCAAAGGCAAAGTTGAACAGTGTTTGAAGGTGTTAGAAAAGTAGGTGCTATCATATTTACTGGCGTAAGCGAGAGAAAGAAACAAAGCAGCACATAACAGAAAAAAAAGAGAGAGAGAGAGAAAAGGAAAATAAAGAAATAAAACGTTGAACCTATCAATGATATGAATTGGAAAGACGAGACCCAGTTGTTCTACTGACTATTTAATAAGTTATAGGTGTCACGCCTAATGCTTCCTTTATCGCACAGAACATGAGCTAAGTAGGGTATGGTTGAGTTTTGTACTTGCCAGTGCAAGCATATAGTTTTCTATGTAGGCTTTTGGTTCTGCCTGATGAGAAACAAGGGGATAGTTGTGAATGAAGAGGTTGGTGTGAGTTAGATAGAATGGATTTAGCCCATTTTTCACATGAGTCCATGTGCCTGTCGACCAGAATATTAACAAGCTGGTTAAGTGGCACATTGCTTACCCTGCTGACAACCTTTAACATCCTACGTAATAAGATATAGTCTTTCTTCAGTAGCCCTGGAAAAACTAAGGGGAACAATAGAGAATAATAGGCAGGATGCAAGAGCTAACGAATCGTAGATACCACTGACGATTACCATCCAGCAGATAGCAGCATCTTCATTCTCAGAAATCCTCAAAGCGTTTGTATCAGGAACCAATATTTAACCATTTAAAGGAAGAAGATATATACATAAAACGTCAGATATGCTTACTTTTTCCCCTTCACCTTCTGGTGGATTCAATTCGCGCCATTCTTCAATTACATTGCATAAATCTACAGTGCTCAGAGGTACTTTAATTTGTCCAATTTGATCATGTTTAGAAAATCGATCGAAATCGTACACGGTGAATTGAACTGTTTTCGCTGTAATCTCAGCATAGGGAATCTGTGTATACAATAACAGAAAGTAGTTACAGGGATGTGAGTGGAGATAATCCCTATTTTAGAAAAAAAATTTGTGATACTGTATACTACTGAAAGAATGATATAAATAGTTTGCAGTCACTCACGTCGATCACCAGTAGCTCTTGCCATCCAGATCATAGAGATATAAACAGCAGACGGGGATCAATATACGGGTGCGGATACACTTAGCTATAAATATAAAACTGAACCCTTTAAAAGATCTGGTGGTGGATAGACTTTGGTTGGCCTCTGAAAATGCCCTAATACTTCCAGCCATTAACAGACTATACCATGGCAGTCCTATTCACCACCTCCACACAGCGGAAATGTTCATTACATAAGCGAAAAGAGAATACGAATGGCTGGCGCTAGTGACCAGAATTGTGGATATTTGGGTAGGTTTACCTCGGAGAGCCTATAGCATATATAAGTTATCGAATTCGAAAGGATTTTTGTTCACCAGAAACCATTGGAACGCAGCTGTTGACTCTGCTCCGTTGCATTGTGAATCAGACTTCTAGTCAAAGGTTCCGGCAGTTGCCTTTCAAATCAACCACACGATTGGGTGTGGACATCAAGGCAGTATCCCTGCCCCCTCAAAAATTGAGATTTTATTTGCAAATTGGTTGTGTTCTCTGAGCTGGTAGGTTTAATTACACAGCTTTCGTCGACCTTCTGGACAACATATTCAGCGGAAGCTTAGGCATAAAATGAACTAATTTAAATTCTCTATGAATCATAGAATCGCATCTCCTGGTTACCATCTTTGTGACCGGTAGTCGATTTACATCTGTAGTGATCATTTTTTATTGGCTTGGATTTTAAACTTTCTCATCACATGATTTACTTCTTATTAGTTGGTAGATTTGGTCTATATTAACATGTTTGTTAATTGCATTTTTGTTTGAGTACCAGGCTTCTAGGAATTCTCTGGCATTACTTTTGGTGTTTCCTCTGTTTAAAATTTCGACATTATCCCAATCAAACTGATGTCCATAATTATCTACATGCATTGATATGAAAGAATATATATCATGTCCCTTTACAACTAATTTGTGTTCCTGGATTCTGATTCGAAGGGAACGCCCACTTTGGCCGATGTAATGTCTATTACAAAACATACAACTTATTTTGTAAATGGTATTAATTTTATCTTCTTTTTCTGTTGGATGGGTCCTTTGGTTTGCACACTTTTTAATAAAGTGATTGTGCTGACTGGCTGGCTTGTGTGCTGTATCTATTTCAAACAGTCGTAATATTCTAGCTGTAATTTCAGAGATATTTTTAATATATGGTAAGATGAATTTTCTTGTAGTCTTTGGTGCTGGCTTGTTGTTGATGTAATGACTCGATTTTAAACACTTTTTGATGAAATTGTGGTGAGGATATGCATTCTTTTTGAAGACCGTTTGTAGGTGTTTTTCTTCCATTCTTTTCAACCCTGGAGTGCTACAGTGTGTTTGAACTCTTTTAAACAATGTCTGCGCACAGTTTCTTTTGTGGGGTGATTGGATTATTGCTAGTATAGTTGAGTATTTGATCTGTGTACGTTGATTTTCTATATACTTGTATTTCTTAATTTCATGTATTAGTTCTCTTGATTAAGGAAGACATCTCAGAATGGATTTTGTTATCTAATTCTTCTTCTCTTGTGAATTCTATGTCTTCAAGTAAGTTGTTTATTAATTTATGGGTCTATTCTAAATCGTTTCTTTTAATTATTACAAATGTATCATTAACGTAACGTTCCTAGACTTTTGGTTTAATCACAGGTAGAGCTACTTAATCTAATCTTCGCATAACAGCTTCAGCTCTTAATCCTGACTGATATGGGCGATGATCCCATTGGTGTTCCTTTTATTTGTTCATATATTTGAGTATTGAACTGGAAGTATGTTGTAAGGCATAATTTTATGAGTTCTATCCAAGTTGAACGTTGTGATTTTATGTTTTATTTGGCACATCCCTCAGATGTACCTCCTCTGTTTGTTAATAAATACGAAAAATTTAACATCAGTCTAGACCAGGCTTAAGACTGACTAGGCGAGGTTTCGAAATGTGCCAGTCGGAAGTCAAACTCTATCCATGTCTCGAGTCGTTGGCATTCTAACAATGAACTAAGGAGACACAATTTTGCATCTCTAATTTTGTTTAAAGTTTTGCTTGACATCAGCATATAATCTAAAAATAACTCTAAATTTTTATTTTCGCACCCTTTTTTGCGCCATTACTAGTCTTTAGTATTTCCCATATTTTCTGAAAAGTGACAGCTCACTGGTTGTTAGCGTTTTTTTGAACTTATTAGCAAATTTGGTGTTTTGATTGGACACTAGTAACTAGTGTGATGTGTCTAGTCCTTTCTTTGGTGCAGACTGAATTCTATCAGTCAGGTATTTGCAATCTGGCCACCATTCTAGGTAGCTTGCCATCACGGTGCACAATGATTTGATGATATTAAATAGTTGGAGGCAATCGGCAGGAAGCCTTGGACCTAGGTTTCGTGCTAGTTGGCACTCACCAGTCAGCAAGGCGTATCTGCAACCTTGAAGGAACCTTTAAATAACACGAAACCTAAGTCCAAGGCTTCCTGCCGATTGCCTCCAACTATCTAATATCATCAATCTTGATGTTTATTGAGGTAATTTAGAATATGGTATATTCACAGGGGCTCTGAAGTATTTCAACTGTTATTTCTGGCAATAAAAGCTTTCTTGTCTACAGTTCGTTTTCTTTTCTGTTGTAAAAGTAGAATTTTGACAGTGTGGCTGAATACAATTCCATATTATAAAAGTTTATTTGACGGGGTATTAATAAATGGATGACGCTTCAATCATACGAGTTATTGCTGCTTACAATCATGCCGATACGTATTCACATGACCTTCTAACTTGTTTTCAAGAGTTGATTTGTATGGATTAGATTTGTTTTTACGAGTTTAAACACGGATTGAGATCAGTTAGAGAACCATTGAAAATCAGGGAGTACTCGCTACAGGACGGAGATTCCTAGAGTTCTAGTGAGAAGTCAAGACCAGTCAGGTGTTAGGATAGATTTCCCACTGATGGCATTGGTCGGTGGTCGCGCTAAATCAAGAATTGGTAGAATCTAGAATTCAAGGAACCATTGAATTGGGTCTTAGTAGCTGAATGGTATACGAGCTTGCCTTGTAATCGGAAGGTTCTGGGTTCGAAGGTCAATGGATGCGTACTGCCGATGATTTCCAAACTAGAATGAAACAGCTGTCCAGTACTCCCTGGTTTTCAATGGTTCTCTAACTGATATCAATCCGCGGGCAAACTTCTAACTTGTGCTATATAGCCCTACACCCTCCAGGTTTCCCAGGTAATTTTCCATAAATACAGAATAGATGTTGAGTCATTTTGACTGTGCGCATTTAATGCTGATTCGATGAACAAGTATGCGCTACTTAGGAAAAGGTTGTCTGTTTTTGACCCCAGGTGTTTACGATCTCTTTCTCGTGTTAGGTGGTATAATATGGTAAGTAATGTTGACATTAGGCGTAGAGTGCTGAGCAAAGAGGGAAAATCAATCGAAGAGGCTATAAAGTTACATAGATTGAGATGGCTAGGTCACGTGCTGCGCATGCCTAACCATCGCCTCCCCCAACGGACGGGCATTACTAGCTGATATAGGTGCAGGTTGAAAAAGAGCAAGTGGTGGCCAAACAAAAACATAGTATCAATCCAAGAAATCCTTGACAGTCAAACTGAGTCAGGTAGGGAGATTCAGACTTCCGGGTTGGGGCCCACCCTCGGGACTCTAAGAATCAATGGCTGGAGACAATAGGTGACATGGCTCAAAATCGTTGTCAATGGCTTACGCAGGTTTATTCAGTCTCTGTAATCTTTCATATTCCTTACTCATTCTGTTTCACTCTTATGCTTGTCAAAACTCGATTGATTCTCTTCACTCATTTTTTTGTCTACCTTTGTGTGGTATTTGGAACGTGGCAGCTCGAAGAGCTGCACTTCCGTGCCAAGTTCTATGTTTAATCCAGCCAGCCAGCCAGCCAGGAAAAATTATATGACGACGCATTAGGAAAATACGAGTAGTAAATTAAACAATGAAAATACGACAAATAATTAAGAATTCAAAGCGTCAGTAGTACCACCACATATAGAGGAATCATCGTAGGTGCTACACAGGATTCTTAGTAAATTATTCAAGAATAAGGGTGGTATTTAAACCAACCAACTGTTTCAGACATAAACTTTGTCAACTTAAATATTTAAAAAATCAAATTAAGAAAAATAATAATATAATTTACCTAGTAACTTGTAATGAATGTGAGGACAGTTACATAAGTGTCCAACTAGTAGATCGGGGTAAGTTAGATTATCGGAAGATGGAAATTTAGCGAGAAATAAAAGAGTGACCCTGTTAAGTTAACTAAACGCGAGAAAATCTCAGCCATTCCAATGTATTTCCCTGTGTGTCATCGGACAATAGGGTGGGTGGGACAAGGTGAAGGTATGAGAAAGTAATAAAGTTAGGTGTAAAGAGAGAGAGAGCGATTAATCACCGCACTTTTATTCATCAAATCAACATCAAACACATGCAGTCGAAATGACGCAACGTCCATACCAGGTATATGAGGAATCGCAGTAAAAGAAAACAAAGGAGGATTAAATTATATAAAGCAAGTTAAACAGTCGTATGAATACAGCTCGATATGATTATGAGCGGCAATAAATTCTTCCACAGTGTGTTGCAGAGTAATGTTTACTGATGACCACGTTTCAAGAACAATTTATTACTGCTCATAGTCATCATACCAAGGCACTACTCACACAACTTTCTAACTTCGTCTACATAATTCCATTATTTCAATTCATCGCTTGATTTGATTGGTAGTAGTATTTTTCATATTTCCGGTATTAGTGATGAGTCATTCTTATTGCATGTGTTTGGTTTTGTAGACTCGATGAACCAGGCAGGATTCAGTAATCAACCTCACTCTCCACCTACCTGTATTACTTCTTAGAATTTCGCCCCTCTCCCACCCTATTGTGTGTGTGTGTCAATGAATGCAGTGCAACTGCTGTTTTTTCTAAATCTTTCATCTTTTCGAGGTCAGTCATTCTAACATTAGCTAAATTCTTATGCTCTCATAATCTGACTACACCCGATTTAATAGTTTCACCCATGTAGTTGACTAAACTCACAGTCATTGCAAGGTATTTTGTGAATTATATTATTGTGCTCAATCAAGTCCACCGGTTCCTTTAGCCTACACAGCTTGAGTTTGTAGGCTTGAATGGCACTCTAATTCTTGCTTTACTTAGAATCCTATGTGGGGTCTCACGATAGACAGTGGACAACTAGGAAAAATGCATAGAATGAACCCACACAAAAATCTTGGAGGATCTGGACTTCGCCGATATATATATGATGTTTGCCTGATTTCCCACAAACTGGAAGATATGCAAATGAAAACCAACAACTTGGCGACAGAAGAAGCATCTAGAGAAGATAGGACTTCGTTCAGGTGAACATAGAGAAAACAGAGGAGATGAAGATTCCTCGCCAGCACCACCCACAGCAACAACAACAACAGACAACAATCAACATACATGTGAGAAATCTGAAAGAAGCAACCTCCTTTAACCACCGACCTGGGAAGCATCGTTTCAACTATAGATGGAACTGATGAAGATATCAAATTGAGGATCATTCATTTCTCTTAAATCTGTGTGGAGGTCAACAACACTCAGCATGTAAAATAAGATCCGGATTTTCAGCTCCAATGTGAACTCAGTGTTGCTTACTATACGGATCAGAAACTTGAAGCGTCACGAAGGCACTTCGAACAAACTACAGAGTTTCATCAACAGCTGTCTTCGCTGAATACCCAAGATCAGATGGCCAGAAAAGATCAACAACAGAGATTTCTGACAATGAACGAACTAAACCAGCAGGAAACAACTGTGTAACAAATATGCAGCAAGAAGTGAAGATGGATTGGCAGTACTCTGAGAAAATAATAAATGACTATCCTGTAAAATTCATTAGGTTTCTCAGAAAAGGTCAAAAGCAAAGTAAAAATTATTGTGAAACTAATAACGATAACATAAATAAGAACGAACATAAGACATATACTGTTATACCAATTTAAGGAGGGGACATCTGAGATCCTACGTAGAATTCTTAATAAAGCAAGAATTAGAGAGGCATTTAAACCTACATATTGACTCAGGGACAAGCTCTGTAGGTCAAAGGACCCAGATGACTCAATTAGACAAAATAATATAATTTACAAAATACCTCGCAATGACTGTGAGTGAGGGCAACTACATAGGTCAAATCTAGTAGGTAGGCGGTAATGAGATTGTCGGGACATAAGAATTTAGCTAAGATAAGAATGGTTGACCCCGGGAAGATAAGTAATCGCATTGTTTGCATTAACACACGATCACACAATACGGTGGGAGATGGTTTAAATTCTAAGGAGCAATATAAGCAGGTGAGGGGAGGGAGACAGGGGTTGATTACTGAATCCTTGTTCATCGAGTCCACACGAAACACATGCAATGGCAATGACTTATCACTCATACCGGAAATATGGAAAATACTACTACCAATCAAATCAAGCGATGAATTGAAATAACGGAATTATATAAACGAAGTTAGAAATTTGTGTGAGTAGTGCCTTGATATGATTATGATCAGCAATAAACTGTGCTCGAAACGTGATCATCAGTAAACATAACTCTATAACACACTATGAGACTTTAACAAAATAAATTTTACCCAAGACGCAAGAATTATACCCTGCCACCACAGCGCCCAAGTTTTATTCTTATATTAGCAATAAATTCTGCTATAATCCTCACCCAGTTATCAATAAACTGTATCACTCACCACTGACTGTGCCACTATAACAAATAAACTTATCTAATGCGGAATTCCATTCTTCCCGCCTCAGTTAGTTGTAAATCCAACTTAAATATCCCCACTAATGATAATTAGAGGACACACAATTCAATTAGATGCCTAATTTATTGGTAATTTCTCAACGGGCATCAGAATTACAATAATAAAATTATGAATCACTGACCATCTTCTTATAACAGTGTGACTATAATTGAATTAAAGTTCAGGAATATATGAATTAGTGAGTAATATTCAAGATGATCATAAGAAGAAGAGCAGCAATAATAAAACGGAGGATAATTTCATGAAAATGTGAACGTGTAATTAGATTTTGACGTTTTGCAAGTCAATTGGCATAGTTATAGTCAGTATGTGACTTGACAAAGCAACAAAAAAGGGTGATTTGGAGCAGATTATGACTTTCAACTTCATATGAAAGTTTGCAAGGGTAATGGAAGGTGAATATTTATCGTGAAGGGGATATAAAAACCAAAGTAATAGAAGATTACGAAAATGATTGGAGATCAACAGCGCACTAAGCATGAAGAATAAGATCCGGATTTTCAACTCCAATGTGAAGTCAGTGTTGCTTTCGATACTGATCAAACACTTGCTGCAGAGCTGTCTCACGAAGAGCACTTCAAACAAACTACACACCTTCACCAACAGCTAGCTTTCTTCACTCAGTACTACTCAAGATCAGATGGCTGGCCAGAAAAGATCAGCAACAGGGATCTCTGGCAATGAACCAACGAATCAACCCAGCAGGAACCAATTGTGCAACAAATATGCAGGAAGAAATGGAGATGGATTATCCATACTTTCAGAAAACCATCAAGTGAGTGACATCACACTCCAGGCCATTTCTCGAGTGTAACCCGACCGAATGAGAAGCGGCGAGTCAGTCGTCAGTGCGAGAGTGACGTCGAGGAGGTGATGTGGAGAGCAGATGAGTGCATGTGGGCAGACATGTAGCCGGGTGAAATCGTGTGTCGGAGAACCGAACGCAATGGATGCGTGAGGTTGAAATCCTATGTTCCTCTAAGAACTAAAGGAAACAATGTAATAATAATACTGTAGATGCCTTATATTCTTTCTTATTTATGTTGTGTCGGTGTTTTGATATGATTATGAGTGGCAGTAAATTGTACTCGAATCATAGTCGTGAGTAAATTTTATTGTGTGATACTGTGTGATTTTATCAAAATCAAATTTTATCCACAATGGAATTATACTCTACCATGGTGCCCAAGTTTTATCCTTTTACCTTTCTTCGTTCGACTTGAAGCACTGACTTCACATTGAAGTTGAAAATCCGATTGAGTGCTGTTGACCTTCACACAGACTTACGAGTAATGAAAGCTTGTCTTGCTTTTCCGATCATCGCTTTGGTATCCTCGTTAGTTCCGCCTGTAGTAGAAACGATGCTTCTCAGGTAGGTAAAAGAAACTGTTTCTTCCAGGTTCCTTCCATTTATGCCGATTGTTGTTTGTTGTTGTTGTTGCTGTTGGTGGTGTTGCCCAGGAATCTTCATCACCTCTGTTTTCTCTATGTTCACCTGAAGTCCTATCTTTGATGCTTCTTCTGCCAACTTGTTGCTTTTTCCTTGCATATCTTCCAGTTTGCGGGAAATCAGGCATGTATCATCGACGAAGTCCAGATCCTCCAAGTTTTTTGTTTGGGTCCATCGTATGCCTGTTTTCTCGTTGCACTCTGCCTGTCGCGAGACTCTACGTAGGATTCTTCATAAAGCAGGAATTAGAGTAGCATTCAAACCTACAAAATGAAGCCCTAAAGGCTAAAGGACCCGGTGGACCCAAGTGAACAAAATAATATAATTTACTTAATATCTTGTAGTGACTGTGAGTGAGGTTAATAACACAGGTGTCAGAAAATAAGAATTTAGCTAAGGTTAGAACGGTTGACACCACGAAGATAAGTAATTCAGAAAAAAGCTCAGCAATTGCACTGCATGCATGCATCCACACACAACCACACAATAGTGTGTGTGAGACAGAGTCAAAATACTAAACAGTAATATAGGTAGGTGGGTGGAGACAGACAGGGGTTGATTACTGAATCCTTGTTCATCGAGTCTACACCCAATATATGCAACAGAAATGACTCAACGCAAATACCAGAAATATGGAAGATATTAATACCACCAGTCAAATCAGAGGATAATAAATAATGGTGAAATGTATTTCAATTCACACATTATAACATTCTAACAAGTTACTTATTTATTTTACTATGAAAACATCTTATTTCCTATCTGAATGTATTTGATTGATAACACTAATATTATTTCTGAATGTGCTTTATCTTTTATTGATTTTATTCAAATGTCTAATCATCAATTTCTACGCATGTGTATAAATGAAGCAAGAAAGTTGTGTGAGTAGTGGCTTGATATGATTATGAGCAGCGAGAATTTGTGCATGAAACGTGCACATAAGTAAATATTATTGTATAACAACACTGTGTGACTTTATTAAAATAAAATTTTATCCTTAATGGAACGAAGATTGACCTTTTTCGCGCTACAGCTTGTTTGGTCACTTCCGGTGTGACCTTGAGAAACAATTAGTTGATTAAAACAAGTATAATTGGTAATTTGAATCTTTAATATTCACATTAAACCAACGTGGAATCGCTTATGAACTTTCTAGAAATTTGTTGATTTTGTAAAATAAAACTATTTTTTTATTCAAAAAGGAAAAGAGATTTTTATTTTAAAAAATTGGAATATATTTCGCTTACCTTAAAAATAAATGTTTCATTAAATACTGGTTAAAAAATAATTTGAATACATTTCGCTTACCTTAAAAATAAATGTTTCATTAAATACTGGATTGAGTATTTTTCGATGAACTTTAGTTTCATATTTTTTCTTCTTATCTGGTAATAGAGTCACTTTCACATAAGGGTCAGATGTACCACACATATCCATAGCTGGTAGATCACACGCTTGAATGACACCAACTGTTAACTAGGAATGGTATACAGAGAAGGGAGAAAGAGAGATGAGTGGTTTGGTAGGTGGGTAAAAGTATGCGAATATATATATATATATATGTATATATTTGTGAAATTAAGCCTATGAGGAGGTCATATACTGATGAATACATCATTACAGATGTTAACTGGTGGCCTATATGAAATTTTTAGGCTTCCGAAAACACCCTTTATCATGAAACACACATATTACTCCCCATTTAATCATTTAAACGTCAGCAGCCAATGAAATCAACGTTGAATAAAGCAAGAACAACAGTGGTTTGTGCAGAATAATATGGTACCATCATTTATTTTGTTGGTTTCTAATGAGCTGCTTACACCAAAATTTTAACATACTTGCAAATTTTTCATGATGTCAGTTGACAGGAAGTTCGATTCTCCTCAAGTTTGCCGAATCAATTTCTATCATATACTTGAAACTAGATTTATGTGTCTATATTCTTTCTTTCATTTGATTACGTAATCTTTGGCTTTAACCTCACCCTCCGTTTGATATGGTATAATTTTGCTTGTCTCTTGCTTCTATGATTTCAGTTGAACTCAGTACATTGTTACCTAATTTATTAGTCACTCAGCATCTTACACATCTCTCGCGTCTTTATTACTTAACTCCTTTACTACTGTATGCATACATATATTTTGTTTAAACTTGAAATGCCTGTGTAAAACTATATATAAACGCAGTTTTCTGAGGACTGTTCACTAATTGCGGAACCTTCTGTCGATAATGGTACAACATTATTCTGCACAAACCACTGTTGTTCTTGCTTTATTCAAATTCATCAGGGGGACTAAATGCATGAAATCGACTTTGGCGCTAACGTTGGATAACTTCTCAGAATTGGTAAAGGGATGACTACAGATTGTGTTGCTGTTAGATTCGTTTATATTTCAGATTATTTCCTCCAATCTACCCTAAAATCTCAGTAGTCCCAGATGAGTGGTTACCCTGTAAAAAACTTCTCACATATACACATGTTTTAGCAATTCTACACTAATGAAGTTGTTATGGGAGTTGTTATGCGAATTGGGGACAGAAACACACTGTAGTTTCATTGAAACACATGCGAAGCTAAATGATCGTTGAAGGTCATGTGTTTAGATATCAGAAGCATTTTAACCCTTCACTTTCCATGTTTTTCGTTGCATAAGTTTAAATGATAGAACACACATACACACACTCAGTGAGTGATACAGTACTTATATTTGGATGATGATTTGAGAACGGTTTATTACTGCTCATAATCATATCCTTGAGTATTCATACGATTTATTAAGTTCTTTATTATATTCTTATGCTCACCAATATTTTTTATTCCAAGGAGTCAGCTAAAAGAGACTATTGAAATCAGAGTGAAATAGAGATTCGCCGCTGAAGATAAGAGTTCCATATCGAACGCATGGAAACAATATGTAGGTCACAATGATCGATACTGAAAACCACATAAGACGAAACTCACATCCTGGATTTCACTGCTAGCCAGCAATAAAACAAGTTACTTCAATTCTTTTTGTATGCCACTCAAAACAGCTAATACATTTTTTCCATAGGTGAGGCTCAATTCAAGTGGATTTACAGTCTGAATGTGTCTGAATAATCTATACCATATGTGCAGTATTCTTTCAACCCTTTTTTTTGAAGCATACACTTTGTCTTCAGGGCAGGTTTCAGCTCAAACCAGTGGCTTTTTGACTCTACTATACAAAACCAGAGATGATAGCTGTTTCGTCTTAGCGCATCCATACTCCCCATCCATTAGGGATTCAGTCCATAACTTTCAGTGTGCAATCTGTGTTCATCGTTATTCAGCCTCAAGGTAGGAATACCAACTTCTGTCACTTCTCGATGAGATACAAGTGAATCGACCACGGAAAAAGGTGAGTTAGAGAACCATTGAAAACCATCAGTGATTGCTGTTAGTATGAGACACTTCATCAGTACACATCCATGACTCCGTCCAACAGGGGTCGAATCCAGGACCTTCAGGTTACGAGGTCAAAGACGTTGACCATTCCGCCGCTGAGATTGAATCCAGTGGTCAGTGAGCTTTAACTTCTGTCATCCAGCCCATTTTAGTGTCACCACTAACCAATGCCATCAACCAAATACAGGACAAATTAGCCTAAGAAGTAATAACCAGCAGGGTCCACCAAGTGAGGTATTTGGAAAAATACTCGCGGTCGACGCTGGGAGTGAGGTGGCACTAAGAAGAGCGAATTAGCACAAATTAGAATTCATAAGCTATTGGATCTCGGCTCAAGTGGTTTGATGGTCAACGAGTTTGGCTTCGTAACTTGAAGTCCCTGAGTTTAAATCCTGGTGAATACGTATCGCTGCAGGATATCAAACTATGACGAAACAGCTGTCTAGAGAGAACTCCGTGTTGGTTTTCAATGGTTATCTAACTGATATCAACCAAATTTGAGACAAATCGGATCCCCACAAATTAACTCTTGAAAAATTAATCTGATGCTCACTAGTGACTAGCTAAAGAATAATGTTGACTGGAGTTCCAGTGACAAGTTGTAACCAGTGGGTCAGCCAGATTTGGTTTGAGAAGAAATATATTGGCTGTTGGTGGCATCATATATCCCAAGCTTCCAGAGCTTCGAATTGATGGCTGAATAATCTACGAGCTCTTCTATTAACCTGAAGGTCTTTAACTCGATCCCTATTGCCGTCGTGGGTGTATACTAATGAAGAGTCTGAATCTGGAACGAAACAGCTATCCACTACTCAGTAGTTCTCTAACTTATATCAACTAGTGAGCAAACGTGAAACTGATCGAACTCTTACAAAGTTTTTTATTCCTTTACGTTCCCAGTGGAACATAGGCCTTCGATCTAGAGTCTTGAAGTTTCTTCAGCAGTATTTAGTTTCACAGGATGGGGTTACTAGCCTCATGCCCGACCTTTCCTCTCCACCAGCTTTATTTCTGGCTTAGTGAAGTAAAGGAGTGCGCCGGCCGGGGATCGAAACCCGGACCATGTGCATGGTCGGCGAGCGTCCTAACCACTATGCCACCAACGCACTTACTCTTACAACATAACAACTGAAAATCTAATTTATAGCTGATTCCTAAATCGATCCAGGATCACGTCAACTAGACACACTTAAACGTAGTTCCTTATCATCTCAAATGATACTTTTTAATTTGCCTAATCTATGCCAACATGAGTAGGCATATTTTCGGTTAAACTTATTTTCAGACATTGATGTACATGTTTTTTCTTCTTTATTTTGGCATGCATCAGCTGAACATATGTTCACAAAACACAAGAATACTAATAATACAAAGATAAGCTATACTACTGAAACTGAACTACATAAGTAGTTTAAAAACTCACACCAACGAGAAATTCATAGGATTAGTTGTCTAACTAACCAGATACAAAGATAGACAGACTGAAGTGATGCAGACATGGGATGATTGTGTCTTCTTCCTTTTCACTCACATTTTTGAGTTGTACTCAATCATCAATTCAGCCAGTATACACTTTAAATTATTCATAAGAAAATATCACAGGTAAGTCAACTTATTCAGTTTTTTTTTTTACTTGTGAGCAATTTTCACGGCATGCATGAATGGAAAAAGCAGTGATTGCGTAATATACGCATATCTGTTTACATACCTCAGCTTTCTGAAAGTCATAATCCAGTGAGAATTGAAGTTTTCCACAATACTGTTTCACTTTTTCACCAGCTTGTTCACTTTCATTCATTTCCATGTCAGATTTCAGAGCAACAGTATCCTAGATGAGAAGAAAGTACCGAGGAAGAGGGAGAGTGAGAAAAACGGGGGGTTATGAAGTGTTTTTCTTATAGTTTTCATTACAAAAGCAACTATGGATTTTAACTAACTTATAAACTCACTGACTGATGGTTAGCTTGTACAGAATATCTTTCGTTTAATGAGCAAAGTTACGAAATAGTAATGATCTAAGTGACTGAATGACCTTCGAGCGGTAATTCGGAATAAAGGAGGATAAAAGGGGCAGGTCCGCATCTATTGGAGATTTCTTTTTTGAGTGGACACTGGCCAGTAATTAGTGTGACGTGACTAGTCCTAACTTTGGTTCAGATTGAATTCTATCAGTCAGTGTGCAATATGGCGACCACGCCACCAGGTGGCTTGCCATCACGGGGTACTGTGAATGTTGGTATTATATAGTTGAAGACAATCGGCAGGAAGCTTTGGACTTAGATCTCGTGGTAGTTGGCCGTCGTCGGCAAGCTTGCAAACATGGTGGGCACGTTGCAAACTTGACTGATGGAATTTAGTGTGAACCAAAGATGGAACTAGACACATTTCCCCAGTTACTGCATAGTGTCCATTCAAAAGTAAATATCCAATAGAATCCCACAAAAGGTGAATCACGAGCCCAAATACCTCAGTGGTAATGTCTCTGACTACAACACTGAATGACAGGTTTGAATCTCAGATGGGATATCAGTTATTCCTTCAAGACATTGATGACTGGTTTCAACAGTCACAAGACCTAGGTCAAAGACTTTCTGCTAATTGACTGCAAATGTTGAATATCAAATATCGGGGGTACCCTTCTTAAGTTAACTCTAACTGTGCAAGCAAATTTACATATAACTGCAACGTCAGTTACCTTGGGATTTGAGAAAGAAGACTAAACCTTCGATTTTCTAAACAGAAACCGAAAAGACCACATCTTAGGCATCACTAGGATATGGGTCATGAAGTGAACATCTTGAAATACCTTGATATTATATATATATTTAATATAGTTCAATCAATCTCAAGTTTGCCCATGCAATCCCTACGAAACTTCTGAAAGCTGATTTTCAAAAATAGAAGCAAATGTCAGTTTTTTCTTGATGTGTTAACTGACTGCCTTTACTCTCCTTCTAGTATAATTACGTACCCTTCAGCTTCAGGCTTTGATAATTTCTTTCTACGACTTGAGTTGAACTCATCATACTGTTGTACAGCTTACTTACTTACTTACTCCTTATTACGTAACTCCCATGCCACTGTAGGCAAACATTCATTTTTGTTTAAACTTGAACCCTCAGGGTATAAACTATATAAGTGGGAAAAATGATGTTACATCCCACTGTATTTACCAATTTGAATGTATGTGTGGTAAGAAATACATAGTTGGGACTCGTCGATTTCTGCGAGTAAGGGCTGGCTTCAGAGTATATTCCTAAATAACTTCAGTAGTAAGTAGAATCCCCAGAACCCATTAATGGTGAGAACAGACGAACTAGCTCCTCTATTTGTTTGACAAACGTGCTAGGCTGAAATCGATTACAAAATATTGTTAAATGGGAGACGATGGTGGTGGTGATTAATCATGATAGATTTGTAGAGTGTGGAGTATGAAGATTGACAAGTCAGTTCAAGGTTATAAAAGGTGTCTGGCGAGTGAATGGCTAGTACAAAGTGGTATGTATTAAACAGGAGATAGTAAGACTGCAATGAGAAGTTCATAATGAAATATGTGAAATGAAACAGGTGGAGGCATATACTGAGAAAAGAGATAATATTGTAAAGAAGAAAAGACCGAGGAGATTGAAAGGAAATTTCACTTGTTAAAACGTATTATTTATAGATAAATTTGGTATACCATATTCTCAACCTGCCATTTGCACATCATTTACCACATCCTTGACGAATTGGTCGAATATCGTCACATTCGATAGCTTCTTGGATTCTGCATCATATGGCAACATTCTTCTCGTGGTTCTCTTCTTTGATTGCTCTTTCCAGTGTGCCAAACATATTGTTACTTTTTTGAATTCGTTTCTGATATACTACTTATATCGGATTATAAGTAGCACTCACCACAATATCACTAATAATAAGTCCGGATAGCATAAATGGAAAATTTGGTAGTATGGAAAAAGGCATTAAGTGGCAGTATCAATTGTTCAGTCAATATTGCACATGATAAGAATAAAGGGATAATTAAACTGATGTAATAAGGGTATCGCGGTAGAGTTGAAGTGGATGAATTACGAAACTTCTAAACGTTATTAAACAAGTGAACTGGTATAAAGATTTTAAAATCGCGAGTCAAATGTTGTCTAGAAAATTAACAGTGCGATGATGATAACAGTAAAGACAGTGAAGATGAAGTGAAGTGGAATGAATTCAAGTGATAAAATAAAAATAAGATAAAAGAACATTACTATGACCAAGATAGAGAAAGGGGTTTAACAAAACGTTTTTGAACACAATTTAGGTTTCTGTCTATGTATAGCTAGAGCTGCGGCTATGTATGCATGAGTGGAGAAAACGTAAGTTTTGGAGTGGTTTCGATTTCGTCCTGTAAATAACTTTGCAGGATAAATCACGTGAAGCTGAATTGCCTGACTACAGAAGGTGTTCACAGATTGATGACTTTGTCGTCCTTTGCTTACCTTTCACTAACCAAACCGTGTGGTGTTCAGCTACGCGTTTATGGAGATTACGCTAACAACGTTCAATGTAATCAGCTCCACACGAGTATGTGAATCAGCATATGCACATATAGGTGGACATAAGCGATTGTTTGTCCTTGAGGCATTGTCGAATAATATTTCGGCTGGTAAATACTAAATGTGTAAGTCAGTTGTATAAAAAGAGTGTTTAATACACTTAGATAAACGACCTCAGCAACGGTGTCACCTTTGGACGCGCGACTCACAAACATCATCTGCTCTGGCACTATGATTTGCCTGAGGACGGTTTCTTGATGTTGTTAGGAAAAAGCACGTTATATTTATACATATTTAACCACATCGGAATCGGCATACACTAGTGAAAATAGATTATTCTGATTGGTTAGCGGTTGAACCAAGACTAAGGCGAGAAAAAGATGGTGAAATTTTACAGTCATACTGGCATACTTATTACTATTATTAATAATAATATCTGCCCACCAGGATCCATTCTAAAGATCAGATATCCGTTGGAAAGAATAAGCAAGTCCTGTGTTCCACTCGGAACCTTAAGGGAGCGACAGTGCATTGACTATGACGACAGACTTTTATCAACTTCGGTTGCCTCAAAAACAATTAGGCAGGATAGGAGTAATAGGGGTTTACAACTTCACTTGTGTGATGGCTCCTTATAGTGATTATTTATCGGGTGAAGAGGGAGGGAGAGAACAGAGAAGTTCCCATTTTTTTCACTTTGTTCTTTGAAATTTCATGAAAAGAAGGAAACTTAATCAAATATATTCCTTTCACATATAGTAATTTTACTTCCAATCTTCAGTTACAACAATAAAATTTCCCTGTTCCCTTCTTCACCGTTTTCAAGCTTACTAAACATATTATCACTAGGCATAAACCGTATGCCTCACTGATCCTTAATCTGTTTAGCTTGGATAACATTTTTCATCACCAACTGATTGACTAATTGATTGCTTGATTGATTAGGAATGGCATAAAAACGAAAACATTAGTCGTTAGGAAGTAAATAAAGGAATGCATGTGTGATTGCAAATCTCATGTCAAAAATTTTGGACAGAATCAACGACAGGCTGCTGTGTCACCACTGGAATACCAAAAACCAAAAAAAGAGAACACGTTTAAAACGATCACTCGAATCAATGTGAAAGAGTAGAAGAACATAGTCATGAAGGTATGAGGCAGTCAGCAACATTATTTATTGTTATTATTATCGTTCCCTCGGGGTGGTGACCAGCTAAACTCTGGAGTTGAAAGTCAGAATCTTGTTCTTTAATCTAAATGTAGAAGAATTCCAGATTGATTGTAGATTGATAAATGTCTGTCTTGCCTTTCCAATTCAGGTTTCGATGTCCTCAGTTGTGGGGGCTTCACTCGCAATGATGCCACCTAGATAGGCGAAGTGATATCGATTTACGCTTGTTGCTGTTGGTTGATTGGTTATCTTCACCACCAATATATTCCCTAAGTTCACTTGAAGTCTTGTCTTTGCTGCTTCTCCTGTTAGTTTGTTCGTTTTCGCCTTGTATTATTATATTATTATTGTTCCCTTCGGTTCCTAGTGGAACATAAAGCTTCAACTACACGTCTCCACTTTCCTCAGTCTTCTGCTGTACTTTTCACCCGCATCCATGTTAATCCATAGTGTTTCAGTTCCTCATCACACGATCTCCTCCATGTCACCCTTGGACATCCCACTCGCCGCTTCTCTTTCGGGTTCCACTCGAGTACTGGCCTGAAGCGCTATGTCACTCAACGGCCTCCTCAGCAAGTGTCCAATCCATCTCCACTTTCTCCTGCATATTTATTGGGCAATTGGTTCCTGTTGTGTTTGTTCCCATAGTTTGTCGATGGTGATTCTTTCCGGCCCTCTGATCTTGAGTATAGAACGAAGACAGCTGCTCATAAAGGTCTGCAACAGGCTGTTGGAAATATTCTTGGTGACCCGCCAAGTTTCTGATCCATCCGTATAGAAGAACTGACTGACTTGACGTTTGTATTGAAAATCCGAATTTTGTTGTTGATGCTGAGTGACGAAGATTTCCAGATTGATTTTAAGTTGATGAATGTGTTTCTCGCCTTCCTGATTCTCGATTTGACATCCTCGTCCGTTCCTCCTGTAGTTGAGACAATGCTCCCTAGACAAGTGAATGAAAGAAGTAACCTCTTTCAAATCCCTTCCGTTGATGGTGATTGGCGCTGGATGTCGCTGTTGTTGGTGATGGTTGGTTTTTTTTCATAACCTCCGTCTTGTCTATGCTCACCTAGAGTCCTGTCTTTGCTACTTCTTCGACCAGTTTGTCGGTTTTCCCTTGTAAGTCTTCGATTTTTTGTGACATCAAACATAAATCATCCACGCGCGAAATCCAGGTCTCCTAGGTTCTTCACGTCGGTCCAGGAAATCCCTGTCTCCTCGTTTCCCACTGTCTGACGCATAATCCAGTCCACCACAATTAGGAATATTATGGGTGATAATAAGCACCTTTGTCTGACTCCTGTGTTTACTCCAAACGCCTCGCTGAGTTTTCCGTTGTGGATCACTTGACATGTGCCGTTGTCGTACAGCTGTTGAATAAGGTTGATGAATATTTGGGGTACGCCGTAGTACTCGAGTAGTTTCCAAATTACTTCGCGGTCAAAACTGTCTATCGAAGGCCTTCTCAAAGTCTATAAAGTTGAGGTAGAGGTTTGATTGCCATTCCATGCTTTGTTCGATGATGATGCGTAGAGTTGCAATTTGGTCAGAACATGATTTGCTCTTCCTGAATCCAGCTTGTTCTGTTCGGAATTCTGTGCGTCCTTTATTCTCTCCATGATGATGCGACTCAGAATTTTACTTGGCGTTGACAGGAGCATGATTCTTCGCCAGTTCTTGCAGAGTCCTACGTCGCCTTTTTTTGGTAGTTTCACAAGGTAACTTTTCCTGCAGTCAGTTTTCGCCTGTAAGTCTTCGAATTTATGTGACTTCGGATACAAGTCATCCGCGAAATCCAGGTCTTCTATGGTGTTTTACCGGTCAAGCCTATTCCTGTCTTCTCGCTCCCTATGGACAGTCTGATGCATAATCCAGTTCAATTTATTTAAGAATTTCGTCAGTGGCAGTACGGTTTTCTAGCTGTTTATCGATCGTAACTTGGAAGTGGATTTTCAAAATTTTAGAAGTATAAAGAATGGACACGGTTTGTGTTCCCAGCTAGAAGTTAATATACTACCCTGGTAAACTGACCTTTTGCAATGAACCACCCTGTCTTGTATCTGGCACAACATCTAGGAAGTGAAATGTGGGATTCCACTTTTCTTAGAACTACAGTTTTAGCAGAACAAAGTGATACCATCGTTTATTTCGTTGCATTCTCGTCAGCTGCTTACAGGTCAATGACATTATTTAATGTATCTACAAAAACAATTTTAACATACTTGCACAGAGTTCATTTTAAACAAAAATCAATCTATCAATATCCATGTTTTATTCCTTGACGTTCCCCAGTGGAACATAGGGCTTCAAGCCAGTGGCTTGAAGTTTCTGTAGCAGTGTTTATTTTACAGGATGAGGTTGTTAGACTCATGTCCAACCTTTCCTCTTCACCAGCATTATTTCTGGTCTAGCGAGGTAAAGGAGTGCGTTCAGTGGCCGGGGATCGAACCCCGGACCATGTGCATGGTCGGCGAGCGTCCTAACCGCCATGCCACCGACGCACAAATATACACATACACTAATAATATATATATGTATATACAAATATATGTAATATTAAACATTATTCCGAACAATAATAATCATACACAATGAAACTTTTGGTGTAACGTAATCAAATGAAAGCGAGAATGGAAGCATCCATTTACTCGGCAGCAGGACAAGGAAAGACTGATAACCGCTTCTTTTTGGACGCAGAAATCAGGTTTCAGGCGATTGATAGGAATGGCTTCAGCAAACTTGAGGAGAATTGAACTCTTTTGCCTATCGATAGATGTGAACGTTCTTGTGACGTCCACCTCATGACCCGTATCAACGAGATGCCTGGCAATGGCACTGGTGAAAACATTTGTTCCCTTTAGACATATGCCTCTTGGTACATGTTCAGAAAATCGGAGCTGTGTGAGCCCTTCTTTCTGTCCTTTCAATGTTAACTCCAACTGTATATACAAATTTACATGTATCTTCATCAACTCTATCTTCTATATGTTTACTTGCAATCCTTTCTTCGTTTCCATTCTTTTCTACCATCTAGTTGGTTTCTATCTGTAGGTCTTCGAGGTTTCGTGACATTAAACATAAACCGTCCGAGAAGTTTAACCTTCTAGAATCTTCTTATCGGTCCAGCGTATTCCTTATTTCTCTCTCCCTACACTTACGGTCTGCCGCAATATTAAGTCCACCAAAATCAATAATATATCACCAGTGACAGTAGACAGCAGACTTATCTTACTGCTGTCTTCACGTCAAATATGTAAGAGAAACTTCTTCCCTCGGGAATAGGGTGGGTGGGGGCAAAAGGGGTACAGAAATAGCAAAAGCAACATACACACACAAACACACGCAACCTACTTGATTTTTTAATACTTCAGATAAATGCGCAGCAGTTTTCAAATCAGCAGCCAACTTGCCACCAGCCAGCGACATCTTCTTGCCATCTTTCTTCGATCGACGTTTTCTCAGGACACAACGTTTACAGAACCAAAGAAGAAACAGTAGGCCAAATGTTACACCCAATATCGAAAGACTAACAACACCACCATAGGGTACTTTATGCGGAAGAAACGAAAACAAACAAAAAAATAAAGAGGAGATAAACAAATAACCATAAACAAAACAACAACAAAAAACGAAACAACGGATGAGAAAATACAATCAATAAAAGTCAATGGGAAACAAGTGAACAAATAATAATAATAGTAGTAACGATAATAATAACCTAAATATATAAATAATCCTTAGAAAAATCTACGATAAACTTGGAGACGGATGACCTTGGTTGTTTATCCACAAATAAATAAATACTTAAATAAATATATTTTCTGTTCTCTTAGCTTGATTAATGTGAGGGATCTGTTTTATCCGAGTCGGTGGCACAGTGGTGAGGACGCTCGCCGCCGATGCACATGGTCTGAGGTTCGATCCCCGGCCGACGCACTCTTTTACCACGCTAAACCAGAAATAATGCTGGTGAAGAGAAAAGGTCGGGCATGAGGCTAGCAACTCCATCCTGTAAAATAAGCACTGCTACAGAAACTTTAAGCCACTAGCCTGAAGCCCTATATTCCATTGGGGAACGTGAAGGAAAAAAAATCTGTTTTATCCATCATGAGATCCAAAGAAATCCGGAGCTTCGAGCTGCGTGAAATTCTATTCGACAAAAGTGAATGACAATTTGGGGAGGGGGAATGGTGCCTAGCAGTGGAATCAAGGAAATGAGTATTTGGTCTCATTTGGGACTCGTCATCTGGTTATGTACCAACATTTCCCAGTGAGTGGTGATGGTGGCGTTCCCACTCAGACTCGAACCCAGTACCCATCGATTTTTAAATGCTAAAGTATCAGCTGGAAGACCACTTAGGCTACGCGGGGTACCACTTATCCAATGGACACCAGTTATTATTACAGTTTTCAATGGAATTTCGATTTTCCCCGTAGACTGGTTGAACCGAAGCGTCTGTGCTAGTGGGTGACATGTCAAAATAATAATAATAATCATTTGCTTAATTCCAAAACAGGACATGTGATACAGAATGGAATTCTCAGCATTTTTACTACAGTATTGCATCCAGTTAGTACATTATCAATAAATAGAATTCCACATAGATTAAGGAAATCTCAGTTCATTATGACAACAACATATTGGCATGTCGGTAGCAAAGCCAAAGCTGAACAGTGTTTGCAGGTGTTAGAAAAGTAGGAGCTGTCATATCTACTGGCGTAAGCAAGAGAAAGAAACAAAGTAGCACATAACGGAAAAAAGAGAGAGAAAAGGAAAAAAAGAAAAAAAACGGTGTACCTATAAATGATATGAGTTGGAAAGACGAGATCCACTTGTTCTACTGACTATTTAATGAATTATAGGTGTCACGCCTAATGCTTTCTTCATCGCACAGAACACGAGCTAAGTAGGGTATGATTGAGATTTTGTACTTGCTAGTGCCAGCATATAGTTTTCGATATAGGCTTCTGGTTCTGCCTGATGAGATGCAAGGGGAGAGTTGTGAGTGAAGAGGGTGGTGTGAGTTAGATAAAATGGATTTGGCCCATTTTTCACATGAGTCCATGTGCCTGTCAACCAGAATATTAACAAGCTTGTTTAATGGCACATTGCTTACCCTTCTGACAACCTTTAACATCCTACGTAATATGTTATAGTGTTTCTTCAGTAGCCCGGGAAAAACTAAGGGGGAACAGTAGAGAATAAAAGGCAGAATGCCAGAATTAACGAATTGTAGGAGTAAGGGTTGGGTAATACCAGAATGTTTTAACTTCTTAATGTGGAAGGTAAGACGGAATATTTTCTTAGAAATTGCTAAGACATGAGACGACCAGGAGAGATCAGCAGATAGAATGACACCTAGGTATTTAATTTCCGATTTAGTTTCTATTTCAGTGCCGTCTATGTTGCATACCTCGTAAGAGTCAACCAGTTTGCTTAGGTCGGATTTATGCCTAAAGGTGAAATTGACTGTTTGGCATTTGGAGGGGTTTAGGGTAAGACCGTTTTCCTTGGACCACTGGCTGATTTCTGACAGAAAGCCATTAAGTTTAGAGCAGTCGCTTTGACATTTGACAGGCAAAGATACAGTCAGATCGTCAGCATGTTTGACAAAAGAGGCTAAACGACCCTTTGGTGCAATCACTCAACTGGAAAATCAAAATCAAATTGAAAAAAATACTAGCTCGCTAGTTTTGTAACCGGTTCCAAATCCAAGAAGAGAGTGAGGGTTGGGTGTAGGGTTAGCTATCATATCTGGATAAACTAGTCGAACTGCAACAGAAACTTCAAAACACAAGCGAAATATTAAAAATATTTTTAAAAAATTATTTTTCACTGGAATCACAGAGACTGGCTGGTGAAATCTTTGTGAAACCAGTTAGTCAGCCAATGCGTCTTCTTTCGATGAAAGCGAAATTGAGAGTGGGGATGTGGAGTGTTCATACGATGTACAAAGGTGGGTAGGCTGACCAGGCAACCAAAGAAATGTGAATATATGGCAAAGAAGTTTTTGGAATCTAAGAGGGAGGGAGGGTGGAATGGATTCTAGAAGAGATCTGGATTTCGTGAATGGTTTATGTCTAATGGCACACACAAACTCAAAGACTTACAGACAAAAACTATAAAATAAAGGCGGAGAGAGCAAGGGAGACAGGACTTCAACTGAACGTGATGAAAATAACCAAAAGAGGATCGGCCGGCACGAGTTATCATCAGCAGGAGAAATTTGAAAGAGGTTATTTCCTTCAGTTGTCTAGGAAGCATCATTTCAACGACAAGTGGCACGGATGGAGATGTGAAAGTCAGAATCGAAAAGGCAATCGAGACCTTCTTCACTCTGAAGTTTTCTGCGCTCATCATAAACAACACGATTTGGATTTTCAACATAAATGTTATGCCAGTCATTTATCCTATATGGCTCGGAAACTCGGTCAGCGTGCCATGGAAAGCATTTTTAAACAGGTTACTTTTTGAATTGTATCAACAGCTGCTTTCTGTCTATACTGGACATCAAATGGCTAGCCAGAAAGAATCAGCAACAAGAAACTCTGGCTAGGAACGGACCAACAGGCGAGAACGGAAGTGGACTGGGCATATTGCTAAGAAGACCATCCATCATTTGACGTCGCTTGCAGGGCCCTCCACTGAGGAACTCCGAGTTGGGCGTCACTTCGAGTGTGACGTGAAGGAGGTCATCTGAGGAGAAGATGAGAGACTATCAGCAGTTGTGGGGCCAAATGAAGAGAACCGCGAAGGACAGGACAAAGTGAATATATGCTGTTGAAGGTCTATGTTCCACTCGGAAAACAAGGGGACAAAAATATATTAACAGTGTGAATCGTCGAACTTTTTGTTAATTCCAACAAATATTGATGTAAGCTTCAATATATATGCAGATGGGTTGTTAAAAGACTATTTGAATTCTGTCCGACTTAGTCTTCTTTGAACTGAGGGAATGAGAACGATAATAGATATCAAGTTAAATCAAGATAGGCATTTCAGGAGTTTTGCTTTGTATGACCTTACTGACATTCAGTGAGGTTCAAATTAGTCAGTTGGTAGGACAAAACTAGCTTAATACATTTTACTGTAGGGACCACTATCAAACGATTAAAAGCAAATCCACGTACGCAGAGAAAAATTCACTGTAAAGGCATTCGAAAGCGTCGATCGAGAGGTGATTTGGCAACTACTTCGCTACTACGGGGTGCCACCGACAATTATACATCTCATCCAACAGTTGTACGACAATGCTGCATGTCAAGTAATCCACAACGGGAAACTTACGGAATACTTCGAAGTGAGGACAGGAGTAGAACAAGCTGACTGCTTACTATAGCCAATGATTTTCCTGATTGCAGTAGATTGGATAATGCGACAAACAGCGGGCAATAAGGAAACAGGCATAAAATGGACTCATACAAAAAACTTGGAGAATCTGGACTTCACCGATGATATATGTCTGATTTCCCACAAACTGGAAGATATGCAAGTCAAAAGCAACAAGTTGGTGACAGAAGAAGCATCAAAGATAGGACTTCAGGTGAACATAGAGAAAACAGAGGTGATGAAGATTCAACAACAACAGACAACAATCAGCATAAATGGAAGGAATCTGAAAGAAACAACCTCTTTTACCTACCTGGGAAGCATCGTTTCAACTACAGGCGGACGGAACTGACGAGGATATCAAAGCAAGAATCGGAAAAGCAAGACAAGCTTTCACTACTCTCAAGTCTGTGTGGTGGTCAACAGCACTCGGCATCAAAAATAAGAACCGGATTTTCAACTCCAATGTGAAGTCAGTGCTATTCACTGTATGGATCAGAGACTTGCACTGCGCGTCATAAAGAGCATCTCGAACAAATTACAGACCTTCATTAGCAGCTAGCTGTCTTCGCTCAATACTCAAGATCAGATGGCCAGCCAGAAAAGATCAGCAACAGGGATCTCTGGGAGAGAAACAACCAGGAACTAATTGTGTAACAAATAGGCAGGAAGAAACGGAGATGGATTGGCCGAACTCTGAGGGGAACCATCAAGTGACATCACTAGACAAGCCATTGCTCGAGTGGAACCCGATATGGAAGCGGCGAGTTGGTCGTCAGCGCAAGGGTGACTTGGAGGAGGTGATTTGAAGAGGAGGTGAACACGTGTGGGCAGACGTGTGGCCAGGTGAAGACTCTAGTAGAGAACCGAACACAATGGAGACGCATGGCTTAAGCCCTATGTTCCTCTAGGAATTAAAGGAAACAATAATAATGTAATAATAGAGAGAAAAAGACAGCCATGGTTAATCCTGCGTACAGCGTATTCTAATTTCTACGCTTCACGCAAGCAATCTGTTGCACAATTTAGTCCATCACAGTCAAGGATATCATCGATGATAGGGGACATCAGCAATGTCTTCCTCCTGTCTTCACTTCGAAGAAAGAAGAGAACCGTTTCACCTTAACGTCGAGGAGGTAGGGCAGCAGGGTAAAATTAACAAAGGGTGTAAGCAAAAGTATAGGTGATTAAACGTACAAAACCAGATGTTACAAACTT